GTGTTTCCCGAGCAGCGGATCTGATGTGGAGAGAGTGTTCTGCTGGTTTCTCCTGGCTGACATGGCATCCTCCCCCCAGATGTGTCTCAGCCTCTATCGTCTGCTGCTCCTCACCATTTCACCGCTGCGCAGCCATTCCTTCTTCTTTCCCTCTCAACCGTCCTCTCCCTGTGGGCCGGGCCGGTCCTGGGCAGTGCGGCTCGACGCGGGCTCTGTGACAGCGGGGTGTTCGCTGGAGCGGCTGGCACACAGTGTGGCAGAGGAGGTGGGCCTGGAGAATCACGGGCAGATCGGGCAGCTGGAGGGACACTACCTGCTCTGCCAAGGAGTGGAGGACAGCGCAGACGTGGACTCGGCTCTGGATCGAAACCCTCATGTGCTGTGGCACTCACAGGAACACATCCTGAGACGCTCCAAGAGAAGCGTGACCTTCAATGACCCCAAATATCCCAGTCAGTGGCACCTGGTGAGTACTCTGTTGCGTAAGCCAGTAAATAGTGGACAGAATCATGCACTCTAGTCATAAAAACTGGAATTTTGGATGAATAAATCAAAAGTAGGCCTGTAAACTCAATCATATCGCGAGCTGGACTAGTGTCTGTGATCATCGATACGACATTTCGATATGAATTCTGCATGTTTTGCTTGTTGTCTCAGTTTGCTCTATATTGAAGCACCAGCATATCACCATTTAATCTGGGAAATCTATCCTCCTGTCAAAATAAAAGTCTGGTTTAATTGGAAGAAATGGTGACGTATATTACTGTTGTACAGTAGAATGTACTTCTCAAAGTAATAATAATGATATTAATAGTTGTATGCATGTTTTAATTTTAACAGTAAACTTACGTTATGGACTTTGTTGCCAAAATGAGTGAATGAATAAATAAATAAATGTTTATTTTTTATAAGTTTGATTTACATTTTAATAGATTAAGAAATTAAAAAAAATTTGAATGTTTTATTCCTTCATTTGGTTACCACTGTTTTTGATAATAAATTTGTATTAAATCATAAATCCAGAAATAAGCACAGAGATAATAAAATAAATAAATAAAAAATAATAAAATAAAACATTTCATAGGGCCCTATTACTGTAAAAATAAATAAGTAAAATATTAAATTAAGTTGTTATAGTTTCATGAATTCAGTTGATTAGACCTGCTTTTTGATTATTAAAATTAAACCATTAAAATGAAGTCCATAAAAATGAAAACAGGAAACAGAATTTGGGACACATTTCATAGGGCCCTACAAATAAAAATTTTTGTTAAACTTTTAATAAATTGTTATGCAATTTCAAATAATTAGACATGCAATCAATTAGACATGTTTGATTACTAAAATTTCATTTGACCATTAAAATAGAGTCCAGAAAAATGGAATAAAATGGGAGTAAAATTTAATTTGGGAAAAAATAAAACCGATTTCATTGGGCACTAAGTAAAAATGTAAGTAAGTGGTTCGAAGCTGTCAGATTGCAGCCATCTCACATCTCCACATTTGCCTTTACAGCACAACGATGTGAAACAAGGGATGGACATCAACGTGACCGGTGTCTGGGAGCGAAACATCACCGGCGTCGGGATCACAGTGGTTGTGGTGGATGACGGGCTTCAGCACACACTGGCAGATATTCAGCCCAACTATGTGAGTCAGTCACTGTCTGACTTCTAGGAAACTTCCAGGTTCAGTACGTGTTCAATAAGCAGCATCTGTGGCAGTTACCAGAGAAAATAATGTAGACTTGTTCCTCAGTGTTTGAAATGCAGCGAAAATCAGTTCAATAAGGTGCTTAGAATGCAGATACACAGGGGCAATAAACATTAAAATACACACTGTTTAAAGCAGAGTCTGTCACCACGGTGCTAAAAGTTAAGTGTTAACAGAGTCACTGTAAATACATTTTTTACTTAAAGAAGCAAAGGGCTTTCTGGAGTCACCGGCAAAGTGCCTCAAATGTTGTCGATACATGCATTGAAGCTTTAACTGGTGGTTTGTGTTTTTGTAGAGTCCTGAGGGTAGTTATGATCTGAACTCGAACGACCCTGACCCCATGCCTCATCCTGACGGCCACAGCGATAACCATCACGGCACGCGCTGCGCTGGAGAGATCGCCGCTGTCTCAAACAACCGCTTCTGCGCTGTCGGAGTCGCATACGGAGCCAAAGTGGCAGGTTGGTGATTTCAGTACGTGTTACTGATAAAAATCAAACCTAGGGCTGATCACAATTATTGTCACTTTAGATTTAGATTTCATCAGACACACACAAACACACACACACATACACACACAGACAGACACACATACCCACACAGACACACACACACACACACACACACACAGACACACTCAAACACAGACACACACACAGACACGCATACACGCACAGACACAAACACACACAGACACACACAGACACACACACACACACACACACACTCACACACACAGACACTATTGACACAGACAATATTGTGCACAGATCAAGAGATCGTCAGCTCACATGCTTAATTTCACATTATCTATTTTCCTGATGTTTTATATTTATCGTATAAATATACACACACTCTTTACATTATGAAAACTGGGGCAACAAATAGCTTCTCAAAATCCTTATATTTAACCCCCGCAATTCCAAATGAAAAATGTTTTTAGGATAAATAACCAGCAGGTTAATGAATTGAGAGAAACATAAATCGAGATCACAATTAGAATATGATTTATCGTGCAGCCCTAATTAAACCCTTTCTAAATGATTTATCGTTGAGGTGAATTGCTTTAAGACGAATCACTTGTTGTTTTCCTCATTTGGATAAAAGTATCTGATAAAGTAAAATGTAAATATTGTCATAGATTTATACTTGATTTTTAGGGCAGAGGGATATAGCTGACATAGTTGATATACTGATTAATAATTTATATACTGATGAATCTAAAATGCATAATACATTAACGTTGTCATATCAACAAAACATCCATTGTAGCCAAGTAAATTCAAAATGTTAAATGCAAGAAGGAAAAATATTTGGTCACTTTTATTTATGTTTCACATTATTTTATTTATATATCAGTGCTTTTTAATAAAAGGTTTACCTGTGTGTATTTTTACGAAGGCATTTTTAAATATGATTTTTTTTTCTTGCACAGTAAATTTTGCAGTGTTAAATGAACTCTATAAGAGTTGAGATTCCGTCTTACAAGGTGCTGTCGAAAGTAAAAATATTGTCCTTGTTTACAGCCCTGTTTAAAGGTTTAAAGGACACAACAAGCTGAATTCAAGGAACACGCGGCGACGAAAGCCAACACTATTGTCGCCTTGTTTCGGCTGCATCTGGACCATAAAGCTGCGCTTGAACACAACGCACTACACAGTAAATTTTGCAGTGTTAAATTAACTCTATAAGAGTTGAATTTAACACTCGGCCCGAGTGTATTTGGTCCCACTCAGAATTGGTGATAAATTGACTCTTGTCATAGTGTTACATTTTCAGAGTTAAATTAACTCTATTTTGAGTAAAAAATTAACACTGCTCAACACTGAATAGTTACCAGAGTTTAACACTAGGGGAAATCAACTCTGTTCTGTGTTACCACAATTTAACCAGTTCATGGAGATCGAGACAGCAGAAAGCACTTCTTATTTTTTTTTGTTTTTTTCTTTATTTTACAAAAGACTCGTTGCCATTTCAAATTATTTATTACCCTAATCTCTATGAGCAAAAATGGTGTGTTATAAGCTGTTTCCACCATTATCAAGAAAAAAAATTCAAGCAAATCGCACTGGTGCCTCTATGTCCTATAATCATGCTAACAGCTTCAACACTCCACACAAACACTTGGATATGCACCTAATAGCACACATTTATCTGTTTAACATTTATAGGGTAACGTTGGAGCGAATGGCCATGTAAAGTTCAATTTTGCTTCATTGAAAGCTTATTGTATTACTGTATTAAAAGCTTACTGTATTATGTAGAGTTGAATATTATGAGAGGGAGATGGACTGGTTATGTTAAAGGAGATTTCTGATGACAGCGCTGCTCAGTCCATTTGCTGATTCCGTCTTACAAGGTGCTGTCGAAAGTAAAAATATTGTCCTTGTTTACAGCCCTGTTTAAAGGTTTAAAGGACACAACAAGCTGAATTCAAGGAACACGCGGCGACGAAAGCCAACACTATTGTCGCCTTGTTTCGGCTGCATCTGGACCATAAAGCTGCGCTTGAACACAACGCACTACACAGTAAATTGTGCAGTGTTAAATTAACTCTATAAGAGTTGAATTTAACACTCGGCCCGAGTGTATTTGGTCCCACTCAGAATTGGTGATAAATTGACTCTTGTCATAGTGTTAAATTTTCAGAGTTAAATTAACTCTATTTTGAGTAAAAAATTAACACTGCTCAACACTGAATAGTGTTACCAGAGTTTAACACTACGGGAAATTAACTCTGTTCTGTTACCACAATTTAACTCTGCAGGAAAATTTACTCTGATTAGTGTTAATATTTCACTTATGTAGAGTTCATTTACATTTATAATAGTGAAAAATTATCTAATTTTAAAACCCATTTGGTGTTTTAAAAACAGAATAGAAAACAAGATCAACGACGTCACATTTAAAACATTTATTAAAAAATGTTGTCAGGCTCAAGAAACATACACATACATGCACAAAAATAAATCACGTCTGCATGAAATGACAGCACATCACTATATTCAGTACAGAACCTGTTGAACCTACTAGCTAAGCTGGATTACTTTAATGAATGTCATTACTACCTTTCTGTGCCTTGAATGTGCTAGTTGCGTGGACTGTCAATGTAGGGACAGAAATCTCTCAGATTTCATTAAAATATCTTCATTGGTGTCTTGAAGATGAACAAAAGTCTTACAGGTTTGGAACAACATGAGGGTGAGTAAATGTTGACAGAATTTGGGTAAATTAACCCCATTAAACAGTTTGTCAAAAGCATCGAGAGAAGAGACTGACTTGCATGGAATGGCATGCTGATCAAAATTGAAGTACTGGTGAACTGAATAATTCTTCCAAGAGCCAGGAGACAGGGCTGAGCACTTCCAGCAATGCCTTGAAGATGCTCCTCAATGCTTGTTCCACTCTGGAAAAAAAACCCCAAGAAAATCGCAGAGGACTATCATTGATATGTTAAATAAAAAAAAAACTACAAAAAAATAATAACAAAAATAATAAATAAAAACAAACCTTCTAGAAGATATCTCTACTTGAGACGTAGACACCTTTCTCTTCTGGCCTTGACAAGACACAAACAACAAACATTTTAAGATCATCAACACTGCTTAAAGAATGCTATATGAAGTTAATCCTTAGTCACAGTTAATGCAACTCAGTAGCTACAAAACTGCTGTGAAAAGTGGCACAATGACATTTCTCTTTTCATTTTGTACCTTCAAATGATATTCCTCGTTAGAAATGCCTCTCTGTATAGTTTTGATTCTCCATAGCAAGTATCCGGTGGCACTATTACCAACATCATAGTAATGCTCCTTAGAAAGACAAAAATACAGAAAAAGGAGACGAAAAAGTGTTTTAAAATCCAAGAGAAAAGTACACCACCTATATTATGGGCATGTGATCAAAACATTTAAAAGTTGAGAGAGAACTTTTGCTCTGGTCTTCGGGGATGGCTTGAGGGGCGGAGCTTAACGGAGTAAATTTAACAATGCAGAATTCAACTCAGATCATTTTCACCAACACTAGGGGGCATTTTTCACTATTTGTTGTTAAGCTAACTCCTTAAGAGTAAATGGAGTGTAACACTGCTTAATTAACACTGTCAATTTTACTGTGTGAGTGTCATTATGTGAATTGAATTTGAGTTTTGAATCTAATTTAGAATCAGTTATTGAACTTGATTTCCAAAAACACCTTTTTGCTAGCAAACTTTAAATCGCTATTGAAACGTCTGTCTTGTCTCTCACACCTGCATGACACAAAACATTGTGAAACTAGTGTAATGACACGCACTTTAGGAAACGGGATGACCAGATTAAAATCATTGCAGGACTCACAGTGTTGGTTCATTTTAATATTAAATTGACATCATTGGTAATATTGTCTACATTGACCATTGATTGCGCGCGCGTGTCTGTGTGTGTGTGTGTGTGTGTGTGTCTGTGTCTGTGTGTGTGTGTCTGTGTGTCTGTGTGTCTGTGTGTATGTGCCTGTGCCTGTGCGTGTGCGTGTGTGTGTGCGTGTGTGTATATGTGTCCTCGTAGGCATCAGAGTTTTGGACGGACCCCTCACAGACAGCATGGAGGCTGTTGCTTTTAATAAGCATTACCAAGTTAATGATGTCTACAGCTGCAGGTACTTTTTGTGCAAGCTCACTGAAGAATCTGTTATATGATAGATATTTTAATGTAGTTATCACAGTAACACTTTACAATAAGGTTTATTAGTTAACATTAGTTAACGATTAACATTAGTTAAGGAACTTAACTAACTGACATTAATTTAGTTAACATGAACTAAGAATGAACAATACTTCTACAGCATTTATTAATATTTGCTAATGTTAATTTCAACATTTAGTAATGCATTATTAAAATCAAAAGTTGTGCTTGTTAACATTAGTTAATGCACTTACATGAACTAACAATGAACAACTGTATTTTTATTAACTAACATTAACAAAGATGAATAAATACTGTAATAAATGTATTCTTCATTGTTTGTTCATGTTAGTTAATACATTAACTAACATTAACTAAAGGAACCTTACTGTAAAGTGTTACCGTTATCACAAATATTTTTATTTTTATTTATTTGCTTTTGTTGACAGTATTTGATGCTCAGTGCATTTTGTTTATTTTCAACTGAGCACAATTTTAGTAAGCCGATTAAAACAAATAAGGGTAGTAGGACAAGGTTCCATTTGTTAATATTGTTTAGCTACATTAGTTAACACTAACTAACATTCATATTTCTTTATGAATTTTAATATTAATTTCAACACAATACATTTTTAAAATCAAAAGCTGTATCTGTTAACATGAACGAACAGAGAACAACTGTACTGTCATGAGCATTCATTATTGCTGAAAACTATATATTGTTTATTTTCAGTTCATGTTAGATAATGCATAAACCACTAGTTCATCATCCATTAATGTTAACTTGTCCCACTTTTAATTTGAGACTTTACTGAAATGGGTACCGTGTGTATTTTGTGCTGTAGTTGGGGTCCGGATGATGATGGCCGTACGGTTGATGGACCGCATCCCTTAGGCAAGGTTAGGCCGTCTGAAACTAATCCTTTACATTTCATCAGAGTAATGCGTTTAATCATGAGAAGCAGAAGACATGCATCCTTCTCCATATGATTGGCTGCACCTCAGCAATGTGTTTGGTTCTCTGTACTTGCACCAGGATAAAGTGCTGGTGCTTCAGCCATAGCTTCAACATGCCAATAAGACCCTTACATAAAATCAAACAGCTACATTTAAAACAAGATGCATGTTCTGCCATTACAGATACACTACCGGTCAAAAGTTTGGGATCAGTAAGATTTGTAATGCATTTTAAAGAAGTCTCTTCTGCTCATCAAGGCTGCATTTATTTGATCAGACATTCAGAATAAACACTAATGTTGTGAAATATTATTGCTATTTAAAATAATGGTTTTCTATTTTAATATACTTTAAACTGTAATGTATTTCTGTGATGCGCAGCTGAATTTTCAGCATCATTACTCCAGTCTTCAGTGTCACATGATCTTCAGAAATCATTCTAATATGCTGATTTATTATCAGTGCTGGAAACAGTTTTGCTGCTTAATATTTTTTTGGAACCTGTGATACTTTTTTTCAGGATTCTTTGATGAATAGAAAGTTAAAAAGAACAGCATTTATTCAAAATATATTTTTTTTCTAATAGTATACACTACCATTCAAAAGTTTGGGGTCAGTATTTTTTGTTTTCTTTCTATCTTTTTTTTTTGTTTGTTTTTGAAAGAAATTATTTTATTCAGCAAAGATGTGTTAAATTGATAACAAGTATATTGTATTGCAAGTATGTATATTGTTAGAAAATATTTATATTTTAAACAAATGCTGTTCTTTTTTAGCTTCATTCATCAAATAATCCTGAAAAAGTATCACAGGTTCCAAAAAAAATGAAGCTTCCAACATTGATGATAAATCAGCGTATTAGAATGATTTCTGAAGATCACGTGATACTGAAGACTGGAGTAATGATGCTGAAAATACAGCTTTACATCATAGGAATAAATTATATTTTAAAGTATATTAAAATAGAAAACCAATATTTTAAATGGTAATATTTTACAATATTTTACTGTATTTTGGTCAAATAAATGCAGCCTTAACGAGCAAAAGAGACTTCTTTAAAACACATTACAGATCTTACTGATCTCAAACTTTTGAACAGCAGTCTATTTTCTTTTTGCAACCCCAGAGTTCAGCCAACAGTGGTTTTGAGTAATTAATCCATGTTTTAGTCCGATTCTTACAAAGAATGGTTCCGTTGTTTGTGCACAGGCGGCGCTGCAGCATGGAGTTATTGCAGGCAGGAGAGGTTTCGGTAACATCTTTGTTGTCGCCAGTGGTAATGGAGGACAGTATGACGACAACTGCAACTATGACGGCTATGCTAACTCCATCTACACCGTCACCATTGGTAATGAATCTAACCTTTCTCAGCTCAGTTAACTTATGAGTGTCTAAACCTTTTCTGATCAAAGCTGTCAGGAACATTTCTGAATCAGATTTCAGCCCAGAATCTTAATTTCATATTTTTTTAATATTTGTATTAACATCTGTATTTCTATATTTGTTGTATAGCATTAAAGGGATAGTTCACCCAAAAGTGAAAAATCTGCTGCTAATTTACTCACCCTCAGACCATCCAAGATGTAGGCGAATTGTGTTGAGGACAGATTTTTAACTGAAACTGTGGTTCATAAAATGCAAGTCAGCAGCTACTGTCACTTTGAGAGTCAAAGAAAGCACATCAGGCAACACAAAATGAATCCCCGTGACTCCTGACGATACACCGAGGTCTTATGAAGCGAAACGATCAGTCTGTGCAAGAAACTGAACTGAACATTATTACCTGTAATCCAGAGCCTCAGACAAACGGTCCGGAATGATGTCCGGTTCACGAACGAATCATTCTTTTGAACCGGTTCTTTTTGGTGAGCGAGCTGAACCAGTTCATCGAATCGGACCGAACACTTGTATGAAGGGGCAAAAATGAAAGTGTTTATGGTTTCTCATGGTTTATGTAAAAAGGTGAGTTGATTATAATTGCGTATACGTCACGTCATTGCGTGATTACGTGAACAAACTGATCAATCAGTTATTTGAACCAGTTGAAACAAACTGTCAGAAAGAACCAGTTTGCAGAAAAGAATCGTGTTATAATGTAGTAAATAATGTTCAGTTTCTTGCACAGACCAATCGTTTCGCTTCATAAAACCTCAATATATATTGTCAGGACCCGCAGGGATTCATTTTATGCTCCTTGCTGTGACGGCAGCCACTGAATCATCAACGACCGAGATCTTTACTGTGCTACTGAAGAAATACAGTCACATACATCTCAGATGGCATGAGGATGAGTAAACTAACAGCGAATTTAGATTTTTGGGTGAACTATCCCTTTAAGAAAACGAAGGCTCTTTTTAAGACCGTGAATGATGTGTAATTGCAGGCGCGGTTGATGAGAATGGCAAAAGGCCGTTTTATGCAGAAGAGTGTGCGTCTATGCTGGCCGTCACGTTCAGCAGTGGGAGCAGACAGCTGCGCAGTATAGTGAGTATCAGTAGCCTGTTAAAGTACGCTTGATTATAACATTGTAAGTCAGGCATATGTATTGTGTGAAAGAAAATGTTTAGTCAAAGAAACCTTTTTGTCTCCATCACAACACGCAATATGGCAGAATAAGCCCCGCCTTCTGAATAAAAGACCCAATCAGCAATTGGTAAAGTCATTGCATCACTGCAGCTGCCGTTAGAGGCTCTGGATGCTGATTGGATGTTGAGGTGTGGGTGTGGATATTAGGGCTGGGCGGTATATCGAGTTTGTACGATATATCGATATTTTCTTTATAAGCGATTCGATATGAGGCAATACCGTTTATATCGATATACAGTAGTTTGATACAAGCGCATCTGACACAGACTGAGCTGCTGCAGAGAAAGTGCATAATCCAATTTGTTCTAAACGTGACAAGCTTCATATTAAGGCCTTTAAAAACTGTAAGACATAGTTTATAGTTTGGTTTTGCATATTAGTTTAAGCGCCTCTGACTGAAAGGCTGTGTGTGCCGCTTTAATGTGTTTGAGATGTGCTGTCTTCCTGAATGCATAACTTACATTTCACAGGTATATTCTCCATCTGTAAATGTTAGAAAGCCATGGAAATATTTCCATTTTGCTGTAAGGGGTGCATGAGCCTTCTGCTTTGGGATTCTCCGCTAAACTTCACAGAATTCAGTGAACGAGCGCCAAACAGACAGAGCTCAATTAATTAGGAATGCAATAATTCTGACTAAAATATACATTTCGCTGAAATATTTGTAGTTGGACAATATATGTGACATGTAGAATTTTAAACCTGCAAGTAAGTCTATTTTTATGATGGCACTGACTGTAATGGGGTAATCAAAATAGCCTAACACAATTCTGTGCTTTTGTTCTCATTTATTTTCATGTTTAATTTAGTGAATTTAACTTCCGCTTTAAAAGCCTTATTTTTGTTTTTAGATTGCAATGTTACAGTGTTAGAATGAAATGTGATTCTAACCCATTTTTGCACATAATATAAAGGCTTACATGGTTACATTCACTTTATTTGTTTTCATAGCCTTTAATATGTATTGTTTTGTTGGGCGCTAAGTGAAATATATATTAAATACAGATTTTTTTAATCCAAATACAAAAACGAAAATACCGAGATATATACCGTATATTGCAAACTGGCCAAAAAATACAGAGATATGAATTTTTGCCCATATCGCCCAGCCCTAGTGGATATGCAGATGAGCGTGAGCTTGCAGGGGCGGAGTTTAGGAGCATTAAATGACTGGAGAAGTCCCGCATGCATCACCAGAGGATCTAGAGGTTTTAGATTCGGTTTTCTGATGTTTCTCTCAGGTGACGTCTGACTGGTCGCTGCAGAGCGGCACCGGCTGTACCGACGGACACACAGGCACTTCAGCGGCTGCTCCTCTGGCTGCAGGGATGGTGGCGCTCATGCTGCAGGTGCGCCCCTGTCTGAGCTGGCGGGATGTCCAGCACATCATCACCTACACAGCAACACAGGTAGCTGTCGACATGCAATAACCTGTAATCAACATGCATTTTTAAGCAGGAGTGGTGCTGTTCTGAATGTCAGCTATAGTAAGCAGCCATGATGATATTCAGTTCTACAGCAAGATCATCGCTGTGATATTGCTTTTATACTGCAGTTCTATAAACCAGCAAATTAAAGACTGTAAATAAACCTACATCTCTCTAGTCAGTTTAAGGTTTTAATAATGTCAGTAGTTTAATGCTGAGGTGTCTTTATGTCTTTAGCATGACGCTGACGCTCAGGCTGACTGGGGAATCAATGGAGCTGGTTTCCACCACAGTTACAAGTACGGCTTTGGATTGCTAAACGCCTGGAGGCTCGTTAATGCTGCCAAGGTAGATCCATCACCGCAGCGCTGGTTTCAGAGAAACACAGGCTTCATTAAGCAGCTGAGAGTCTGTGTCTATATGTCTGGCAGGTCTGGGAGTCCGTCCCCTTTTTGGTGTCCTACCAGAGCCCAATTTTAAAGACCAACGAGGGCATCCCAGAGTATCCCAAAACTCTCACTCACACCTGGAATGGTAAGAGATTTAGATGGAGTAGCACACTGAAATTAAATGATTGGTTACACTTTATTTTAAGGACCAATTCTTGCTATTAACTAGTTGCTTGTTAGCATGCATATTACTAGCACATTGGCTGTTTATTAGTACTTATGAAGCACTTATTAAAGCCTAATTATGCATGACTATATTTCAGATCCCTATAATCCTAAACCCCATGCATAACTACCTTACTAACTATTAATAAGCAGCACATCAGGAGTTTATTGAGGCAAAATCATAGTTATTTCATAGTGGGAATTGGTTCCCAAACTAAAGTGTGACCAAAATATTTACAGTTTTCCGATCTAATATGTAATTCAGAACAAACCATAAAAAGGGCTATTATGACATCTGTGTGCTCTGTTAATGGATCTGTGCCACAGACAGCACTAGTCTGCCCTTATTTGGACAAGTTTGTCTGTGTTTATGTGTTCAAGTATACCGTGAAAGTGAAATGTTGTTTCCCTTCTCCATTGAGCTCACATCTTTCAAATGAGATGTTCAGCAGCACTGTTTATGTAATGTGGCAAAGTTGGATCAAATTTACGTTTACAGATGATATTAAATAATACATTTAGAAAATGATACATTTGTGATTTTATTTATTTCTTTTATCCGTACAATCTAAATGTATGGACAAATAGGGAAAAATTCCAAATTAATGCATTTAGAATTTTCAGAAATGTATCTTTTTTTTAAATATTCATCGGATTTCCAGATTCAGATATATTGATGAATTGTAAAAAATCTAAATAAAAACAGCTATAAAGTTAACTACTTAAGATGTAACTTAAATGTACAAAGAAACCCAGTGAAAGTGAGATGGCAGTTTCTAATAGTGTAGCTCCATATTTACTGTCTGACAGGAATGAAAACAAGGCTGTGAGGGACTGAAGTACAGTGCGTTCAATGGATTGTACTGTTGTTTATTCAGCTGACGAAACATCTTTCCAAAAAACTTTCAGTAGACAAAAACTCAAAACAGTTTTGAAGGTTGTGATTTGTGAAAATACACAGTGAGCACCATTATAAAGACCGCAAGCCGTTTAATTCAATATGACATCTAACCTGATTAAAGTCGCTTGGATATTGGTGTAAAAGGTGTTTTAATAGTGTAACAGAAATGAAATGGCCTCTCAGGAAGGGTTCACTTCAGTTTCATTCATAAGTAGGTTTATACACAATCACTTGCTCTCAAAAGCATTAATATCGGCATGAAACAGAAGCTGTGATCATCTTTTCTTCCTTCTTGTGACTTCTATCTGAGAGAAACAGCTTTGTGAATGGGGAAAAATGTAGGACGGGGCTTGGTTTTGTCCATTTGTCCAGAGAAGAGATGTCATTGTCAGCTGATGACTTTAAGGGGTTGATAATATAAAAAAAGTATTAAGCATGTAGTGCAAAATGAATTACTAAT